AAGAGCATTTTGAAAACGGATGTTTGGAATTGTTTCCATCGTTATGTGATTGTTGTTGTTGTTGCTAAAAACTATGCAAGTGTGTAACCTATAAAAACTCTCATATCTGCACACTTAAAAAACTTGGAAACCAGAATTTTCTAACCTGTTTAAAAATTTTCCAAATAAAGAGTTTCAGTGGGTTTTGACCCATTTGTTAAACTATAAAAATGCAACACCTTCCGAGTTTAGTTTGCAAGAACAACTGATTGATATCAGGGAAGATGGAAATGTACTAGCCAAATTTCAACAAATCCTTTGCATAATTGGTGGATGGGATTGAAAAATGAGTATCATGATTTAGTAAGCGCAGCCAACGATGCACTTCTTCAGTTTGTATCTACGTATCTTTGTGAGGTATCTTTTTTCAGCTATGACAGCCATTAAAACCAGGTATCGAAATAAACTGAACTTAGAACCAGACCTTTGAATTGCTGTATCACAAAGTGTTAAACCAAGATTTTCAGAAATAATGAAGCGTATTCAATCACATTGTTCTCACTAAAAATAATAATTATTATTAATATTTTTAGTGAAAGCAAAAAGGTTTTTTGTACCGTTAATAAAATAAATTATTTTAAAAATATTGTTTATTTCATCTTTATCTCATCCTTTTTTAATTTTTATTTTTGTATATGTTTTATAATGTACATAATATATTAGTACAGTAGTACATGTATATAACGTATAAATAAATATACATATATTGGAGGTGGATGCTCAAAAATTTTTTACTGGTGGGATGCGCAATCAAAAAAGTTTGGAGACCACTGCTGTAGGGCACATAATTGGGAGCAGTGGCCTCACACTGTAGCAAAGAAAGTTTGTTGGAGATTGGGGGGAACTTTCTGACTATGAGGGCTGTTAAACATTGAAACAGGCTTCCTAGAAAGGTTGAGGAATCTCCATCCCTAGACATTTTCAAGAGCAGTTTAGACAAGTACTTGGCTGAGATGGTTTAATCAGGGATAATCTTGCCTTGAGAAGGGGAGGGGAGTTGGACTAAATGACCTCATGAGGTCCCTTCCAGCCCTACTTGCCTATGATCCTATGACTCCTAGATCTAGGGCTCTGGTGTGGTAGCATTTGGAGGAATCCTGGTATATCCCTGTTCTAGTCAAAAGTCGGCCTAATAATGCAGAATCAAATGTAAATAGGCTGGCATAATGAAGTCCAGTGTCTGTCTTAATGGACGTTGTGATTGTCTGCTATCTAGTGGAAAAGATGAAGAGTAAAATAGAAATCCATAGGAAAGATCAGTGACCCCCATACTTATTTCCATAATTCTGTCATTTTGTTTTATTACATATACTTCTGGAAAGTTACATAGTTTTTTACAAACATATATGCGTGCAAAAGTGTTTATTGAACTGTCCATTAAGGTAGGGAAGGAAAACAAAAGCAAGACAGATCAGAAAAGGAAAGGCTATAAACAGATGTTGGCAAAGAAGAATGTTACTGGAAGAAAGGGCTTTTATAGAGCGGGGTGTGAAGAAGAGCGAGATCTGTTCACTTGGTGTTCTAACTACTCGGCGTGTAAAAGAAATGAAGCAAACAATAAAGCAGTAAAACTTGGAGGCCTCAAGAAAGCAAGGGCAGGAGTTAAGAGGTAATGAGAGGTTGGGTGAAGCCTTGTTCAGGGTCATGTAAGTTTACTGCCTGCACCTTAAATACCTGAATGTGGTGGTGTAAGGACTGGGAAGCCAATGAAGCAATGTGAGGAGATGGAAGTGATGTGATAGGAAAAACAGAAAAGTAAGATCTTGATAATGAAATTTTGGATACAGTGAAGAGAGAAGTTAAGAGGGGACACCAAAAGTGAGATTGCAGGAGGGCCAAGGAACAGTCAGAAATTCTAACAACAAGAAAACTGAGAAAAGGGCCTCTGAGCCCACGTGATTGCAGCTGATCTAGGTAAAAATCTGTTCTGGCGAGCCTGAATCTGCTGGCAGGAAATATCAGTGATGAACACAGCAAAACCTGCCTTATGGCACTAGTCGTATTGGCAAAAACAAGATGCTAGGCAAAAGGGGTGTCTAAATTAATTGTACTTGATCTGAGGGATATTTTAAAGTTCTTACTTAAAAATAAGAAATTCCCTGCAGCAGGTGGAAACCAAAATATAGGTTTCACCTTTGTTGCCTAAGCTGAGGTGGTGATTCCATGTTTATGATAAAACAAGATAGTACGCACAGAAGGGGTTATCATTGCCCACTGTGCATTATGACTTTTGTTCTAAGAAATGAGCCAGTTTTTAAACAAAAATCTCCTTGATAATTAGCAAAACAGGGAAGGAATGCTTTATTTTAAACGCAGCAGGTGGGTTTGTATAAAATACTTTTAAATTTTACTAGCGTGAATTTCTCTTTATATACTATTGTTTAGGGTTTAAAAAAAATGAGCCCTTTTCTACTCGGGTACAGTGGCGTAAATCCAGGATAAACCTATTGTACAAAATAATAATACTACAGCTGTATAAAGATAATGCTGATAACGGTTTAATATTGTTTACTTTTCCCTTTTGAGTGGCCAAATCCTGTTGTTAACACCACTAATGATTGACAGAATGGATTTACGTGATATTGGGCATTGTTGGGGATCCCTGACTTCCACAGAACTTGTCATTAGATAGAAGTATTTATCATACTCTAAAATGCATGTTGTTTTGTATTGATTAAGGTATATTCAGAGTGATCGTTTTTACAAGGATTAGATCAAATTTATTTAAACATGTATGTATTCACCATTAGTCTTTTGCTTTGCTAAACATATTTGTCTTTGCAGGGGAATATACTGGGGGGTCTGGGATTAAGGAAGAAGAAAAATGACATGCTGGGGTCTATGCCTGTCAGTAAACAAGGCAATAATAGAATTTATTTTTTAAATATAGTCTCATTGGCAAAGACATGGGTTTCATTTTATTTACTTCCAACAGTTAGGATTTTTATTAATCATTTTCCTACTTCTTCCTTTTACTTGTACTCTGATGCCTCTACTGTGGTACCCATAGCAACACTTGTTAATGCTAATGAAACTGCACCATCCTAAGCTTCCCGACAGAGCAGCCCTGTTAAATATGGCTATTACACACAATTGTATTTCTGTTCGTTCCAGCTCCTAACAGACACCTGCTCTTTGGAAACTCTCTTTCCTGAGATGTTGGGCTTTGGTAACTTATTGCTCTTCTTAAACCTGTCTGATTATGACTGGAATGAAGTCTCATTCTGTAGCGTTTACCACCTAAGTATTGGGGGGAGGGGGGTAAATCACGTGCGCACAGACATACATAGAGACACATGCGCACGCACATGATTTCTGCAATATTGACATGCCTAAGCTGTAGGATTAAGTAATCTTCTGAAGTATTAATTTGCATTCAGTGAAACACTGCAGAGGGTTGAAGCTGATTGATCTTGGAGAAACTATGGGATATGTTGTCTCTTGTAAAATGTCCACATGCTCCCTAATTGCTGTGGAACACTGGCATGTTAAGGAGCTAAAGTAATGTCCCAATAACTTCTCATGCACTCCAACTGAATGATAATTCAAGCTTAATAGGAGTATTTTAACATTTTAAAATAGAGAACTGGGAAATTATTTTATTTGCATCGCTTTTTCACCAAGGGAGCATATTTTTGGATGTTCTGTTGCAACAGCAGTGGAGAATAATGGGGGAGGTTTCCCCATTTTCTCTATATTGTTTTGTTTTAAAACTTCTTTTTTTGGAAGACTACCAATTGTTCAATTTTATAAACCAAAAAACCCCAAACCTATAATGAATAGGAAATCTCTTTAAAGGATAAGAACATAAAGAACACTACTGTGCCAATATACAAGTTCTGTAATACCAAGACTGCCACAGAAAAGTTGTCATAGCATAGATGTAGTACCAATTTTTTTGCTAACCTGTTTAAGTCACTGAATAGTTCCTGTAAAGCTTTTAATGTATTAATTTCCAGAAATTTTAAATATATAGGTTTATCTTTTGAGTTATAGTTAACTGCAGGAATTCAACTCAAGTCACTAAAATGTATTTTTGCTCAAAATAACAGTTCTATCTCCTATCTTCCCAAATTTGTTTCCTTGCATGGAAAAAATATGGCTTTTCTGCTTTTGCTTTTTCCATAGACTTTTGTTGCCTTGAAATTGCGTAGTGCAAGGTTTCCTTGTTGTTTGTAAATGAGTCTTAGAATGTTGTTATGCTTTCTTTAGTTCTTGACTTGTGTAGAAATGCAGTCATTTGCTTGTTGGTTTGAATCATTTACGTGACTATCTTTTGTTGCATTCATTTTTGTTTTAATGTTGTTTCAGGTTCTCCTACTAATCTCCTCATAATATTAACCAGCTGTATTAATGAGATAATAAACTAGGCTTGTTGTTAATGAATTGATTCATTCAACTGCTGAATTTAATTAGAAAGACACTTAACATTCCAGCAGATGTTCTTATTTTGTTTCATTATACTTGGGTTCCCAACAGTGGGTTTATAAATATATACTGTATGCATCTATATTAACATAATGTGGTCTTCAACCTAAAACCTTACTACTGCACCATAAATGCAAACCATTTACATTAAACCTGTAAGTGGTTGAGTAAGAAACCAGTTTAACAACACCCCCTGTCTTAATTTATTTGCATTCTTCCAGACTTGAATCTTCAGCTGTATTTGGGTCATTGGGTAAATGTGTAAGACTAGACTAGAAATCACGTCTCTTCCATCTCCTGATCTCTGAGCTAGAGAGTCATCCTCCCTCTCCTTGGCTCAATGATTCATTAATTCTTTCCTGCAAAGTGGTCCAGCTTTAACAAGAAGGATGTAGATTGCCCCCCTCCCCTCATACAAGTGATATACTGGTCCTTATGGTACTCTGCTGAGATGATGTTAAATATCCAGGTTTGTTTCCCCTTGAGCTGACAGGCATTGAAGAGTCTCTCACCCACTGATTTTTGTAAGGAGAAAGAATATGGCGTTACTACTTCCTCTGGTCCCCATTTTAAAAGAATGGAGTGACTGCTGCCCTGTTTCTGGTTTTTGGGTATCTGACAGTTTTCAGGTATCCAACTATGCGTTGGGGTTCTGGGCCTTGAGGCTGAAACATGGCTTCTCCCTTGCTGAGAATAGATGCCTCAGCATCCTGTCAGATCCTCTTGAGGGTTAAACCATGCCTCTTACCCCTATATTCCTCATTCCTTGCTCAGCTTGCAGGTTATTGTGGATCCTGTTCTGAGATTCCCATCTCTCCATGTGGATTGTATAGAGAGCTTAGAATCTCCTCTGGGAGCGCTTAAGAGTTAGGCCCTGTAACAGTGTGTTGCAATGTGAATGTTTTTCTAGGCTCTGAGCAAGTTCTCAATGGTTTCCATTCCCAAAATGCATGACTGCAGACACCTGAATTTATATATATAAAAAGACAATGTGTTTACACCCATGCAACTTATGTTGGTTTTGTTCAGTGATGTAAGTTACAGCAGACTCTGAATTGGACAGATGGCCAGCTCTCTTGGGATAGCTGGTTTTCCGTAAGCAGTATTACTGCACCTCCTAACTAGCTGGGAGTGAGCACATAACAGCCTGTTTTCTTTGAGCAAAAGGCCATCCTGGAATAGCTGCAGACACACAACATTTATATCAGTGTAATTTTACACCAGAGTTGTTTTACCCCCAGCATACTACTATACAAGATTATACATTGTGTCCACCCCTTGTTTACTCCATTGTATAAACATGCCATTATCCAAGCCCTCAGTTGTATCAGAATTATCTGCAGCACACCCTCAGACATGGGACCCAAAGCTAAGCCCTATATGTATGCACATCTGTTGTCAGTGGATTAAGCATGTCAAGGTGGAGTAGACTCAGCATATTGAAGGAGCAGTGTTACTTGATGTCACTGAGAGGGATCATTCTTTATCCTTGCTAAGTTTTTCTATTCCTTTTTCATATTTTGCTTTTATAAAATTTTCTAGGCAAAACAGTTTGTAAGACTGTGTCCAGAAAATGCTTGCTGTAAGGGATTGGCCTGTAGGTGGTCTAGCCTAATGGTGAGGTCAGTGAGGGATGGCTGAGTCGGAATCCAGGAACCAAATTATCAGGTCTGAAGAGAAATTCAGGAGCAGAATCTACAACATACGCTAGGGTCGGGGTCCAGGAATCGGATGCCATGTTACCAAATCTGAGGGTTAATCCACAGGACAAAGTCTGAGGATAGAGCCATTAAACCAGGTTCAGGAGCCAGGAGACTTGTCACAGCAGACTGGGTCAGAACTGTTGCTACAGCTGGGAATAAATGGGAAGACTGAGCTCCCAACAGGTAATCGGGAAGCCAGCCAATTAACCAGCTGGGAAAGCTTGTCGGCCAGAGACCCAAGGCAAGTGTGGCTGCCTAAGCAACTAGCCCAGGCTGGACTGCCTGCTAGGGTCCCCAGTACTTAGACTTTACTCTTGCAACTGAATTTCTCTTGAGTACTGAATCTTTGCCTTTTTTCCCATCATTTTTTCAGCTCTCTGGTATCAACCATCAAATTAACTGATCGCTGTTTAGTATATCAGTCACTGATCATTCTGTCACGCACTGAATTAATTTCTTAGCATATCTTATACAGAGCTGGCTGTAACCATATATGGATATATTTTTTCTTTTATATGCATGATTTCTCTTACTTGGTTCAGAACAATTCATGATTTCTTTTACTTGGTTCAGAACAGTTCATCTTCTAAAATATTTCAGTAAGGAAAACAAATTTATGTAACTGCTGCAGGTAGTTCTACTAGATCTTACTTGCCCCAAAGTATCTAACTAAGCTGTAATCCTCTTTTTTTAATAGTATGCAGCCCAAAGACTTGTAGTATTCATTTTATCTTTTTCTTTGTAGCAGAGTGCACTTCTTCATTTTCCTTTCTGTCTCATTCTCTCCTACTTAGTGACTTTTAGACCACTTCAGCTGAGCTGTAAAATACCACAGTTCTGCTTGATTTTTAAATCTGCTTTCCATTTGCTTTTCACAGTTAAAAATGTATATGAATGCTTGAGGGTGCTGGAGGTTTTTTTTCCCCCAAAATGGCTGCAACCAACAATGAATTCCACAAAAGCCTATTAGCGTGAAAGGAACTGGACTTCCTTGGTTTCTGGCTAGACACAGCTTTTCAGTGAAAGTCTTGGGATGTCTGTAATATTGGACAGCCATGTTCTTTGACCACTACCTAGGGAGAGGCAAAGCTACTATCAAAGTGATTATGTGAAGCTGTACCACTGTGAAATTCTCCACTTTGTGAGTCTTGCAGGACTCATTGTATGGGGGTCCTGACTTAGTGTGTGGCTTGATTTCGAGTCTGTCTCCATTGTTTGCCCTCAGTTTTATGTTTTACAGCTCTCTTATTACCTTTTTTACAGTAAGAGGACCACAAAGGTACAAAGATGGCTACAGTAGATTTATTTACACTCCTTGTGTGTCCTATCATTCTGATGTTTATATTTTAATTGTTCTCAACATGCTGAAAGCTGTACAACGGTGGTGTCCAACCTTTTGGCCCTGCGGGCCACGTGAGTTTTAAGGGTTCAACCCATGGCCCGATCTAATGCATGGAGTGCCAGCCCCATGAGTGCCGGATGAGGTCATCACCCCAGCCCTACATGCACTAGCCTGGTCCTGCACATGGGATCATGTCATATGGCCCATGACCCTTGGAAATTTGGCTGTGGGGGAGCCATTCCAGTATTAATTGTCCTGTTCCACCGCCACCAGATTTCTGGACCCTTGGACAGCCCTGTGGGCTAGATTTGGCCCATGAGCCAGGGCTTTGTTCAACAATACCTGTTTATCCTCCTGCTTAGTATTTTGCAACAGATGAATAACCAACAGTATTTTGACTTCTCATGGAATCTATCCCTAGCTTCCTTCTGCTGTCTTTTTCTGCACCAACTTGCGTAAGCTAATGTAGCTTCCTGTGCTGTTAGTTTTAGTATTCTACAGTTAATTTCTCTCCCTTGTTGTCTTATTTACTCTCCTGATCACATATCAGCAAATTTATTCAGGAGTTTGCTAATTCTTTTCAGGAGTTCGCTAATATATAGTGTGAGCATTACTTTTAAAAAAAACCTATCAGTGGCACTCCACAAATTGCCCCCCTTCAAATCCACGCTGTTGATGCTCATAAATTTCCTTTTC